GGTGGTGGTGGTGATGGTGGTGATGATGATGGTGGTGGTGGTGATGGTGGTGATGATGGTGGTGTAATGATGGTGGTGATGGATGATGATGGATGATGATGATGATGGGTGGTGGTAATGATGGTTAATCAATCTTGAACCTACCTCCCAGGTTGTGTTGACGAGACAGTTGAACTAACATTATTTAAATGTTGCAATCCTGAACCAACATTCGACAGTTGACCTGATAAATGATTATTGTGATATCCAGGATAGGAAACACTTCGACTAAACTACAAATGTGAATAAAAAAGAAGGAATGAAGGTTTTGTGTAGTTTAAGAGGAGATTTTTTTGTATGTTACGTAACACGCGCTCAAAACCAATGCGTATAAATGGTATAATATATCACTTGAGGTTATGACTAAATTCAAAATTTTTATTTTTCGATGCGTTTCTCCGCAATCGGCAAACAAACTTAAAAAGTATGTTTAGTGCTTTATCTGTAAAGTAATGCTAAAATGAAGGGATTTTAGATGATACGCCAAAGAGAAAATGATGTCTGAAGTTCAGTATGTTTTGCTTACATGGCTGTAAATATGGCGTCAATTTTAAAGCATCATTGATAATAGTATTTTAATTGACAATTTTTAACTATTATTTTATGTTTCTCAACCGGCAGATGCATTTAAAAAGGTAGCTAACTGTATAAACTAGAGAATAAAGCTAAAACAAAGTAATTTTGAGAGGAACGCCAAAAAGATTTTAGGTTTTGAACACTTTTCATCGCAAATACGTGACATTGAAAAAAATTGTATCTTAATTTTTTATGATTTACATGGTAAAAATGAACACCTCTCTGATGCAGAGTTCTGAGTGTAATTTGTAACACGATCGAATGTTGTTATAACTGAATAAAAGAACAAATCTTACTTGTGGTGATCCTGTAAGACCTCGGCTACTGCCTGGCGCCCCAGGCAATGCTGATGTTGTGGTTAAACCACCTAAATGGAATTAAAGAACTTGAGCAAAAGAGATATACTAAATACAGGTTCTCAAATTTGCAGTATCCCGATACTAAAATTTGGTTTTGGGTACCAAACTGTGAATGCATGACTTGTATCCCAACTGGATACTAAGAAAATTTCAAACATTAGGAAAATGTTAAGCACCTCTGACAGTCTCCTGATAGCTTTTGAATACCTGCATGAGTTTGCCACCCAAGCCTTTCCTCGTATTATGTGCATTTTTGTGTATTAATGAATTGTCTAGTTGTTGACTGTCGAATCTCCTGTTGTTATTGTAATTTGTAACAGCGAGAGTTATTGGATGGGACAGGGACATAATACTTATGGTAACCAGGATTCAGAAGTGGGATATTGGATTCTCAGGGGGATATACTAAACTTGAATCCTGCTCCCATGCAGTAGGATACAGAAAAAATATTTAAATTTCAGACCTTGATATATTAACGGCTTATTGACCGAGCGTGAGGTCTGTACTGTGAAATATCAGACCGAGGTTTATTAGTATGGACCGAGCGACGAAGGAGCGAGGTCCATACAAAAAACAGAGGTCTGATATTTCACGTACAGTACTGATCGAACAAGCGACGTCAATAATCGGCTTATTATATGGCTGAACTGAGTCTGTGAGCATATGCTTTTCGTGCAAATTAAATCGGCTTTTGTCAGTTTCACTGGGTAACAATATACGGTAGGCGTGCATATTCAATCAAAAACAATTTGGTTGTTTGAAATTTTTATCTGTAAATTTTAATGACACACAATTGGAAAATTAAAAAGCAAAAATTTTTTCTGTTTGCAAAGCAAAAATTTCCCGCCAGAAACGACATCTGTGACGGTCCAGATACAGAAAATACGGACCACGGTCCGGACATGGGTTTTTAGGAACCGCTTGTCAATCAATCAGAATAGAGAATTTTGCCAAAAAAAAGCCATATAATAAACTGTAATTATTGAATGCACATTTCTAAATCCATGTCTAGTTGATTCTTGGTTTAGTAGGTTTGCAAAGAAAGCAATTTTTCAAGCATGATTATTTTGATCAGGGCAGGGTGTGATGTGAGCACCTTAGATCAAGAATTACCTTAGCCTGCAAACAGGCTCTCAAGCTGAATTGAGAGCCTGCATCGATGACTAATGAATTTGAATATCTGCGTCTCAAATCGTGACGCGAAATTCTCATCTTGGTCAGATGCTATAATTTATATGTTTCCGCTGAGCTCTATATATGTCAACTGCTGAAGCACTATGCATAAAAAACACATTAACTGATCAAATTGGTCTTGACCATCTTATCTCAAAGCACGAAATGTTCTGTTTTGAGAAAACAGTATTTAAAACATTTGAACGTTTGCTTCAATATCTAATTATATTTCGAAAAACAGTATAAACTGTACGGTCTAAATTTAGTTTGCACGGTCTAAATTTAGTTAGCACGAAAGTTGTAAACAACACCATATAAGGATAGACAATCCATATTTGGAAAAACGAACGTTACGGGGCAGATATTCAAATTCATTAGTCATCGATGCAGGCTCTCAATTCAGTTTGAGAGCCTGTCTGCAGGCTAGAATTACCTGGGCTGCCAAGACCAGATCCAAAATAGCTCGCCTGTGGACCTGGTGCTGTAACTTAACAAATAGAAATATATTAAATTGTAACTTGCAAAACAATCTCAAATATTACATTTCCTTCAATATTTTGTTACCTGAGGGTGCAGAATAGAGATTGTTTAAATGCGATGCTGACTGACTTGTCGAATGTGAAGTCAAGGGCTGAAGATAAACAATAAATAGTTCTGATAAATTAAATGTAAATATAGAATGGAACAAATTTAGATATTAAACCAGGCATTCGAATCTACTTTATTTGGTCTGTTGAAGTTTCAAATACATTGCAAGGTGAAATTAACCCTATAAGTTGCATTGCGCCCCACACACATAAACACATAAAAATGCACAAGTTGTTACAGGTCTGCAAACAAGTTGTTACAAATCTGTTCACAAGCTGTCAACAAGTTGTGTTTGCACTGCTTGTTGCCAGTTGTTGTAACAAGTTTGAAACAAGCTGTTAACAACTTGTAACAAGCTTGATGGCATTATCAGACTTGTTACAAGGTTGGTCTGATACAGTCAAGTGCAACACAATATAACAAGAATGTTGCAAGGTTGATGACACAAGGTTGTAACAATATTGTTTAGGGGTGCACCGGAACCAATTTTTTAAGTTCCGGCCGGAACCGGATCTGACCGGAACTGGAGAAAAGTTCTGGCCGGAAGTTCCGGCCGGAACCGGAACTAATTTATTAAGCCATATATAGTCATATGTTACTTTGTCCGCTGCCAGACACTTCAAGTCATCAAGGAGAAAGCTCGCAAATGTTAGAATAAAAATATTGACAAACGTTAAACGTCATAATGAAGTGCTAATAGTGTACATTTCCCTTGGTAGTCCAAATTTCTTCCTACTGTGAACTTTTGTTAGACACAAAAACGTTTGATATTCTATCCCTCTGAAAACGACAGAGTTCCGGTTCCGGCCATGCTTTTTTTATTAGTTCCGGCCAGAACCGGAACTCTGAAAAATCGGGGTTCCGGCCGGAACTAACCGGCCGGAACCGAGTTCCGGTGCACCCCTAATATTGTTATATCATGACTGTATCGGACTGGTTGGAACAACCTTGCAACAAGTCCGATAATACCAACAAACTTGTTACAAGTTGTTAACAACTTGTTCCAAACTTGTTGACAACTTGAGACAAGCAGTGCGAACACAACTTATTGATGGCTTGTTTGGCAGACTTGCTAAAAGATGTGAGATCTTTATGCATGTAATGTGCTTTATTTTATTATTTTACTCTGTCTAACACCAGACAATTTTATTTCCCAAGGGGGCGTACTGCCGCTCGCTGGGGTTAATAACATACCTCCTCTTTATTTTATTATTTTACTCTGTCCAACGCCAGACAATTTTATTTCCCAAGGGGGCACACTGCCGCTCACTGCCAGGGTTAATAACATACCTCCTTCTCTGGCCTTCTTGGAAATGGCGATTGATTAAAAAACATGTTTGACATATTGTTTGTATCATGTAGAGGACTTTCTGAGTAGAATCCAACGCTGTTTGATTTCAATGTTCCAATTAAACTCATACTTTTGACAAGAGCTGCAAAACAACATACGGTAGCAAGTTAATTATACAAGATGACCCATCTGGACAGGGGCAAAGATAAGATAAAAAAATACTCAGAAACCACCGAGTATTTAACAGGGTGTATTAAAAAAACAAGGTAATCCAATTTTGGCATGTTATCATGAGTTATATATTCCGCTTATCCATTTGCTTTTATCATACCAAATAAAACAAAGATTAAGCTTTTAGCTGTCGAATGATACCTCACTTGTATCATTGCGATAAAAATAGCCAAATACAAT